TTTCAGAGCTTTATGATAGCCACAAAGGGAACTTAAGATACAATATAAATCTTCTGTATTTCAGAAAGAAAACACAACACTTAAAACACAACTCCTCTAGCCACATTCTCCATTAAGATAGCTATAGAAGTCTACAAAAATTATAATAAACATTAACTAAAGTTAAGTAAAATAAAAAATTTAGTTCGTTAGCTTCACTGTTTATATTTTAAGTGCCTAGTAGTGACATCTAACCTATAGCTACTCTTTTGAATGATACAGAACATTTCCAAAATTGCAGAAAGTTGTTTTGGACACCACTGCCTTATAGGAAACAAAGGAAGTGTTCAAAATAGAGCTGAAACACTAAATAAACTGATGAGACTAACCCTAAATATGGCATATTAAAAGAAACAAAGGTTAGTTTAAAGAATAAAATACAACTAACTATGTGCTATATACATTGTGATTCACATAAAACAAATAACGTAAAGTCTCAGTGTAAAAGAATTGATGAAGGCACACAAGGCAAACAGTACTGAAAGGAAACTGAGGTCGTGGTGTTAGTATTAGGGAGTTAGTTTCAGTGCAGAAAAGTTTTGAATGAGATAACAAATACAGAATGATTCAAAATGAGGATGGGATTATAATGAATTATTATTTCAATTAACATAGCATCAAAGTATATAAACCAAAACCAAAACTGCAAATAGAAGCAAAACAGTATGAGTCCTTGTGATAAAAAGACCAAACCAAAGAATATAAAGTATCTGAATAAGGTACTTTATAAAGATTAATTATTACTGAGGAAGAGTATACCTTTATAATAGAAAGTCACCTTTTACAAGTCTTTATGGAACACTTACAGAGTGGTGAGTCTACATTCAGGCCCTGAACACCCTGAATTTTGGAAGGTGGAAATATAGCAAAGACTTTTTCTCATTACAGTGTAATCAAACTATAAATTATTTTGAAAAATAATAATAAATAATACTTAGATATATCAAAATGGAAAAATAAAAAGAAATTTCAACTTTGTCAAAGTATAAGTGAAACTTGAAATTGTAGAATATTTTAAAAACATACACACTAAAACCTAAAACTTTAATGAAAACTTTGCTCAAAGGAAAATTTATTAGCACTTAAATTGCAATATGAAAGTGTTATTCAGGATTCTCTGTTGCTAACAATATAATCTAATTTATGGTTTCCTTAGAAGTCCAGAGAACCAAGCTTGCGTCCTAAAGAACCAGAAAAAGTGCATTAGGGAAAAGACTCATACTACAGCAAATAGTCACTGTGACCACCTGATAAACACTGTGATATACACAGGATGAAGTGTCTAAAGTTCCATCACAGCCATACCAGAAAAAGCAGCTGTCTCTGACTGAAGATCTTATTTTCCTACACATTGCCTACTCTGTGTTCAAGTCTATTTGGTTATATCTGCATGGTGGATCTTAGGTCAGATGTAAATGACTGTATCCTAGCTACAGAGAATCTGGAAATTTAGATTCTTAGTTTTCCAGCCAGGAAAGGAAAGCAAATGATAAAGGAATGGTTGGAATATGATTTCAGTGTTTCAACCTATAGTATCTACTGCAGTGAAAAAATAATCAGAACCAATGAATTAGGTATACTTACGAAGTCAGAAAAAATTTATAAAAGTGCAAGGAAACCCAGAAGGAAGAGATTAATAATGGTAAAGCAGACATTAATAAAATTTAATACAGAAAAACAGTTAACAGTGATTAAATAGATCAAATAGCTATTTTTTTTCTGACAGTCCTGAGGTTTGAACTTAGATCTTTGCACTTGCTAGACAGGTGCTCTACTGCTTGAGCCACACCTCCAGCCCTTCTTGCTCTGGTTATTTTGGAAGACAGGATCCTGATTTTCGCCTGGACTGTAATCTTCCTATTTTAGGGTTTTGGTGTAGCTGGAATGATAGGCATGTGACATCATGCTCAGCTTTTTTCTGTTGAGATGGGGTCTCACAGAGTTTTTTGCTCAGGTTGACCTGGAACTGTGATTGATCCTCTGGTAACTTGGGATGACAGGTACATGACATTGCACCCAGCTATTGGTTGAGATGGGGTCTTGGGAAACCACTATCCTCTTGATCTTAGCTTCCCAAGTAGCTAGAATTACAGGCATGAGCCACTGGTACCCAGCTCAAGGAGCTTTTTTTTTTTTTTTTTTTTTCCTTAAAACAAAACTAAAATAAATAAACCTAATTCAGAAAAAAGAAATCTTGTACAAAATTAGAATAAAATAAGTATGATACTGAGAAAGTTCATAGTTATTTGAGAGTATTTTGTAAAAACATTGATACAAGTATTTAGAAAATGCTTAAAGGAAGTGATTTTCTATGAAAATATGAATTATCAAAATTGACCTCAGAAGAGATTGAAAACCTAAGTATACTATATTTATAGAAGAAATTAATTCTACTTAAACTTTTATCTTAGAAAAATAGTATTGCAGCTGGGCATGGTATTGCATTGGGAGCTGAGAGAGGAGAGTTTGAAGTCAGCCTGGGCTACATAGTGAGTCCCTGACTTTTATAAAAGAATAGTATTGCACAGAAAACTACAGAACAATATTATGCATCACTTCTGATAGAAAAATCTTAAATAAGATTTTAATATGTAGAATTCATTACAATAAAGAGGGTTCATCCCATGGCTTATTTCATATGAGGAATTTCTCACATACTTTATTACATTAGCATATCAAAGGCAAAAGTCACGTGATTATATGTCCAAAAGATATTTGTCAAAATAAATACCTGTTCTTTTTAAAAATAGTTGAAAAATAGTGTTTAACTGTTAAAACAAGGTACCTAATGCTTTGACACAATTACAGAAGCAGTATACCATGACTAAAGATAGCATTACAGTTAACTGGAAGCATTCCCATTTTATCAGGAACAAGATGAAATGCCTAATAGTACAACTGTTCTACAGGTACTAGCTGATTCAATTACATGGTAAAATGAAATAGAATATTGCAAAGGAGGTAGCAAAATTATTTTTTAAATGTTTAATATACCAGATTGTTTAGATGAAATCTTTTTTTTTTTTTTCCCCAGTACTGGGGTTTGAACTCAAAGCCTCATGCTCATCAAGCAGGTGCTCTGCCACTTGAGCCACTCCACCAGCCACCAGATTGTTTAGATTTGAAATCCTACCCTTTTACTTTCCAGATAAGTTAGTCTGTTCTTTTGATTTTCTCATCTGAAGTAGGTATTGTCCTAATCCCTTACAGAGATTTTGTGAAGACTAAAAGAATTGTTTTCCTATATCTAAAACACTTACTAGAATTTGTAATAAATAAAAGGTCCAATTTATAGTGGGACACAAACTAATAAAATATTTAAAAGTAAACTTATGAAATGTATAGGACCTATCTGAATAAAACTTAAAACTTAAAAGGTTTTGGGTGATGTTTAAAGAAGACCTAAAAAAGTAGAAAGAATCTATACAGGCTGCTTCCAAGCGCAATGTTAGTATTGACAAATGATTTTAAATATCATCTGAAACAGTCTGTGACAGCAACCAGGATCACTTAGATAAGCATCATGAGCAGGAACAAGAAAGTACAGAAATAACCCAAATTCATATATGACTTTAGTATGAAAAGATATTTCCAACCAGTGAAGAAATCTGAGTATATAACTGCTGATCTAGAAAGAATCTTAAGTCATATTATTGTGTAAAAAAGAAAGGTATGAAGAGTAAAGATCTATTTGTGTGTATTTTAATAAATCTCTGTGGTTGTGTATATATATTTTTAAACTTTCTTAAGAAACTCTTTACAGTTTAGATGAAGGAGGCTTAAGTATGCTTTTTTGAATATTTAAAAATTATTAATTTATTTATATTTGGGTTCTGGGAATTGAACCTAGGGCCTTATGCTTGCTAGGCAAGTGCTCTACCACTTCAGCTATGCCCCCAGGCCTAAATGCATTACTTTGAAAATTTAAAAAAAAAAAAAAAATCAGAGGGCTTTCAGTTATTTGCTGTTTTTTTCCTCTGAGTATCCTAAAGGAGTGAGTCAGGGTTGTAGGCAGTTTGGATTATGTGACAAGAGTTTGGGAAGGTGGAGGTTGACAGTTAATTTGGGGGTACCATAAATTAGCGGAGGACTAGAAAGAGAGGGTGAAAGAAAGGCTAAAATCCTTTCTGTCGTAAGGATGTGGAATTTTGCAGTGTGGTGCCCATGCCTCTGTCTGTTTCTGAAGCTTAGCAGAAAGGTCTGAAGCTGTTGATGAGTGCCAGTTTAGAAAGCTATGCCTGACAGAGAGATACCTCATAAATTAATCATTTTTGCTGTTTTCTGTAAAAAGTTATGTCTAGTCATATGAACTTTCAGGATTTGGGGGGAATTTGGGCCTAGACTGTGTATAGCATTGCGCCTTCCCCCAATTGAGGTTTGAACTCAGGGCCATACCCCAGCTCTTCTTGCTCATTTACTTTTCAGATAGGGCATCACATTTTTCCCAGGGCTGGCCTTGGACCATGATCTACCCACTTCTTCTTTCCAAGTAGCTGGAATTATAGAATGCAACACCATGTACAGTTTGTTTTTGAACTAGGGTCTCACTGACGTTTCCACCAGGCTCACCTCAAACTGTAATCCTCCAGTCTCTGCCTCCTGAGTAGCTGGGATTACAGGTGTGTGCCACCACATGCAGCTTCCATTTTTTTTAAACAGTAGTTGTAAGTTATTTAAAATTATTTATTCAGTTTGTTTATGTGACTTTTATCTCTGTCCCCACTGAAATGTAAGTTCCATGAAGGCAAGGGACTTTGTTTTGCTCACTGTTGTAATTTTTAGATTTAGTCTAATTCTACCTGATGGTTTAGCACTTGCATAAAGAATGTGCCCCATAAATATTTGCCAGATCAGCAGCTGTGTTAAGATAATGATGAGAACACTTGCGAATTAGTAGGAGTTGACTTCTCAGGAGAAAACATTTTAATTGAGCTCATGTTAACTAATATGATTTTTCTTAGTCTGACTAAGGACATGACTGGAAAAGAAGATGTATACCGTGGCCCAGCCATCAGGGCGCTCTGCAGAATCACAGATGTAAGTTCCCTTTGTTTTATCTATGTCTATAGGTGGCATGAAGATTTAATGGGATTCCATAGTCTGACTTTGTAACTCTTCAGTGGGAAGAAACATGACCACCGGAGAAGTTTTTGTGGCTCCAGACTTTTTTTCCTTTCAGGTGTTTTTTTTTTTTTTTCCCCCTTTTGTTTATTTATATTAGTCTATTTTCTCTATATATTTACCCTCACGAACTTTTGTAGTTAGAGCACATTATGTACAGGAAACAAAAACCCATTCAAATTTAGTTTAAAAGAAAAGCTTTATTATAGAACACAGAACTCTGAGAATTTAAGGTAAACCTTATAACCTGTCAGCAGAGCAAGAAATAGGGCTGTTTGAAGGAACTCAGCAACAAGATTTCTCAGATATTTACTGTGGCAATCCAGCATTTACCAGAGTCATGTTCCCTTGTTCACATATTTTTAAGAGGCAGAATCTGACTAGCCAGGAGTGAGCTCGTGGCTTGTATCCACCTGATCCAAGTCAGATGTTTCATCTCCATCCAGTCTGTTATATCTAGAGGGATGAGGTCATGTAGTATGTTCGGCGGTCTCTTTCCAGGGATTCTTAAGTAGGAAAGGTTAATGAAGGGTAGGTCAGCATTGCCAAGCAGATCGAATAACCATAGCTGTGCATTCATGCTTGGGTATTTCATATGCATGTTTCCAACCTCCTGAAAATTTAAAATTTGGGCAGATCAAATTGTAAACTTAGGAAATCTGGAATAATATAAGTGGTTTAATATTTTTTGCTGCCCTATTGTTTTGTTATGGTTGTTTTTTAGTATTAAATTGGCGGTATAAGGCTTGACCATGCCAATACCAAGAATAAAACTCTTTTATTTGAATATTTTGATCCAAGTCAGTTTACTTATCTTTATCTGCCACCACTTTCCCAGTGCTAAGCTTTTTTTTTTCTTTTCAGTTAAGTTAAAAAGAACTTTTATTTCTAGAATCCATGCTTAGGGTTTCCTAAAGAAGGATATTATACATTTAATTTCTTAGGTGTCTAAAATGATCAGGGCTCACATTTAATTTATAGGATTACCTGGGATCCATATATAATGTATTCCCTTCACATAGTAGTATCTTCAGAACTTTAAAAGCAACTTTCAGCTCCACACATGAATTTCTTTATAACATCCCTTATTAATAGGTTCAGCTTTTCTTGTGTATTTCCTTCAAACTGGGATATTTTCTATTTTGAGATTAATTCTTTCATTATGGTTACTTATATAGAATCTTACATGCCTTTCTTGAAACTTGTACTGGATTAGTTGAGCTTTCTGGGATTGTTATCCTCTGGAATAATATTATTATATTTTATAATAGTCCTTTCAGTGCATTCTAAATATTGCATTGAAATAAGTATATGACTAGCTTTTGCAAATTATTTTGAAGTAGTAATTTTGCATGACAGTGTTTTCTTCAACAGCTTTTTCTTTTTGAATGTTATTAGGGAACAATGTTACAAGCCATTGAAAGATACATGAAGCAGGCCATTGTGGATAAAGTCCCCAGTGTTTCCAGTTCTGCATTGGTATCTTCCTTAGTAAGTGAGCAGGCAGCTTTCTGATTCTTATGAATGGTACAGTTTCTAGTTCAAAAAATATATATATCTTTATTACTATAAATGTGTTTTATCTATTAGTATTTGAACAGTTAAAATGAGCTGTAAAAACGTGAAAATTTCATATTTGGAAGGTTTGGGGAACTTGAAAATTGTACATATAATAAAGGTGTGTATGGAGTGGGTAAGGGTTATAGAGAGGACAGGGAAGAAACAGAGGCTGTTCTCTTTGAACATATTGCCTGAACTTCTCCCTCGTGCCTCCTTTTTCTTGCCTTTCCTGGGTTCTCTGTGTCTATATCTGTCCTTTGAATCTGAAGTTTCCCATCCCACTTCCTGGTCTTTGTTTGCCTTCCCCTTTTCATCAAAACAGTTTTTTTTAATTAAAACCTTTAACATTGCTTTTGATTAAATCAGTTAAAACTATATGAATGCATTAGAGCATCTGAATCACAAGATTCCTGATTCTGAAATGTCATTGATTGGATTTTACAGTAGGGGATATACTGCACACTGTTTCTTTCTTCCAAAGGTGTTTCCTGGAAGTAAAACTTATGCTAGCATTATTTAAGCACCATTCTGTCCGGTGCTTCCTGTTCTTCCTGTTTATTACTTCCTTTCATACACCCCTTTCAGCTCATAAACACATATTTACCTTTGCAAAGGATACTGAAGAAAAAGGTTCTAGCTTATTACCCCAGGCATAAAGATTTCAAATAGACTTATAAAGCTACAAAGTTTTCTGTCTTTTGGGAAATGTCTATAAGTATTTTGCAAGAAAATTAACTCAATGTTCCCAAACTTCTAATTATCATGCATTATTCATGTTTTTCTGTATTTAGCATATGATGAAGATAAGCTATGATGTGGTTAAACGCTGGATAAATGAAGCCCAAGAAGCTGCATCAAGTGACAATATTATGGTGCAGGTACTATCATTGAATGTCATGTTATGTCTCAGGATCAGCTTTCTTTAAGAGCAATGTGTTGACTCCCCAGTATTAACTAAAAGCAAACACCTTTGCATATTAAGCAACCTATTAGTGTATATTTTCAAATAGGTATCACACTAATTATGACTACTTCCATAAGCCCTTGGTGTGTTTAGTATAAACTAGATGACCTCCTGTAGGAATGCTTGGGAAAGAGTCTTGTGTTCAGTAGTAGGTCCGAATGCTTATTCCAAAGATACTTCACACTGCATTGCAGTCTTTTACTTGAAAAATATTTTGTGTAAAAAAATGTTCTTTTCCAAGTTTTTGAGGCCTTGATTATAGACATTATAAAAACAAAAAGAGCAGTTTTCACTTTGAAATCATTTTGTCAAAAAGATCTCCTTATGATATTTTTGGGGCTATTCCTTATTAAAAAGGAAGAAGCTAATTTTTTTTTTCTTGAGGCAGGGTCTCATTATACAGCTCAGGCTGGCCTTGAACTCACTCTTTATAGTCTAGGCACTCACTCTGGAACTTAAGACCCTCTTTCCTCAGCCTCCCTAATGCTGGCATTACAGGTGTGTACCACCATATGTGGCTTAGACGAATTTTTAAAAAAATAATCTTACTATATTTTAGAATTAACATACGTTAGTAATACGAGGGTGTTTCATTTCATTGTGATAATAGACTAAATTCTTAACTGGCAGTTGTATGTAAAATACTCCATATGTATTTGAGGGAGTATTTATGCATTTTCAGTGTTTATAGCTTCTTATGTTAGTATATTTAATTATGTGAAAATACAGTAGTGATTTTTTCCTTGGGAGACACTCAACTCCTAACTCTGATCACTGTGTATCATGATGATTTTACCCCGTTAGCCTGCTTTAGGAGATTAATTCTTTCCTAAGGTGGCCATAAGTGATTTAAAGCCTGTAAGAGACTTGCAGCTAGGTGTGGTGTCAGACACAGTCCTAACACCTGGGAAGCTGAGGCAGGAGGAGCACTTGAGATCTTCAGTCCACAGGATTGAGGCCAGCCTAGACAACATAGGAAGACCCTGTTTCAAAATATATAAATAAGTAAGTAAATAAATAAGTAGGTCTGTAACACTGGTAAAGCCTTGGACCTGAGGATGTGTGGGCCAGTGTCGAACCTACTAGAGCCATCTTCAGGTTGTATGTAAGACACTTCTTTTGTACTGGTCTAGTCTGAATTTACAACTTTGGGGTAAGTCAGAATTTCTTATCTTTTTAGTTTTGATTGTGTTTAGTTCAGAATTCAAAGAATATTGTGTTTGTGTACATAGGTATTTTTTTTAATTAGAAATTGTTTTTCTAATTCCATGTAATTCTATTTTCATGTGTTTTGTCTTTTTTGTAATCTTCCTGCTAAATTCTTTTCCTTGTTCTTTAGTACCATGCACTGGGAGTACTTTATCACCTTAGGAAGAATGATCGTCTTGCTGTTTCCAAGATGTTAAACAAGTTCACCAAATGTGGTCTGAAGTCACAGTTTGCTTACTGCATGCTGATCCGAATTGCAAGTCGCTTACTAAAAGAAACTGAGGATGGGTAAGTGTCCTAAACCTGAGTTTTGTTCCATTTGCAAGTTAAGACTCTTTTGAGTTTATTGCCTTTATAAATATTTTTAGGGCAGAGCTGACTTTACAGATAAGTTTAATGTTTTCCAAATGAAAAAAAAATATGGGATTCCATGTAAAATAATTTTTTACTTTAATATGTACACTTTTGTATGTATATAACAGATTATGATTGCTCATAATATACTAGCAAACTGATACTGAACAAGAAATGCTTCTGGATCATAAGATGTATAGGTAATTAAATATGAAAGCTAGAATCATCTTGCATATTATTTACTTTTTATAAAAGAGAATGAGAATGTTAAAGTTTTGAAGTGAATGATTTGTCCAAGATCCTTCTGTAAGTGTGAGGCATATGTGGCCTTACCAGATATTCCTTAACAATCTTTTGGAGAAGGCCAAAAAGAGAAGAGAGATCTTTCAGAGAGTGAAAGTAGATCACTGAGAGTGACTCTAGGGAATAAAAAAGACCTTCTTTCCTAGCCCAGTGGCTTACGGCTTAATTTAAAACAGAGAGTGCTGAAAAGATGAAAAGTAGCAGAGAAAGATCTCTAGCATCTGCCTGTGTTCAAAGTGATGTTGAGAAGGGAAGCCTCATCTCTCCTTTACATCAGTTGTAAATAGCAGATTGCTGAATATGGTTAAAGCTGCACAAAGCTGAGCCCCAGATTAACTACTAGCTGCTAACAAAAGAACCTACACTTTTCTGGTGATACATACTTACATCACAATGTTTAATAAATAATCAAAAAGACAAAGAAGCAGGGAACTGTGACCATAACCAAGGGGGAGAAAGCATCAATAGAAGCAAACTCACCGATGACACACATTTTGGAGTTAATAATGCAGTGACTTTAAAGCAACTACTGTAGAATTTAAAAATACACTCAGTAACATATTTCGTCATGGGACTGCTTTTTCTGGAAATGAAAAGTTACACTTTTTCATTTAAGTGCTTTTTGGTGATTGAGGCTAACTTTATAGCTTCAATAAAGGTAGTTGAGCTGTGTTCTGCTCATTTAACGTTAAAGGCATGTCTGATACCATGACTGGGGTGAGATTATGTGCCCTGTTACAGGCCAAAGTTTCTGCCTAGAATTTGGAACTAGCTGGGAACTGAGTTTTGTGATTTAAGCAACTAAACATCTCTAGACCTTAGTTTCCTTAACTCTGAAATGACTCATCTGTCCATGTTGTTGTAAAGGTTGAAGTCATGTATGTTTACCATAGTAAGGTCACATTGAATGGTAGCTATTAGGATTAATTAAGTAACAAAAATTTGCCAGGTACAGTGGCTCACACATATAATCCCCGCTACTAAGGAGGTATAAGTAGGAGGATCAAGGTACAGGCCAGACTGGGCAAAAAAAAATGTGAGACCCTACCTGAAAATAACTAGAAAAGCAAGAAGGGCTGGGAACCTGGCTGATGTGGTACAATGCTTGCCTAACAAGTGTAAGACCCTGAATTCAAACCCCAGCACCACCAAAACAAACAAACCAAAAAAGATAAACCCTTTTCCTTTGAACAAATTTCATGCTAGTTCATTTCTAAATGTCATCCTTGAACATGCCTAATACAGTTGCATGCCAGCCACTCCTGCATCTTGAACTGATAGCTTCCCAGAGACCTGACTTCCCAGAGAGGTCAGGTTTTTGTCCAGGATCTCTTAGTACCTGTGCTTACATTTGGGACATCAAACAAGCTCTAAGGTCCTTTGAGTATTTGATGATCAACTGAACATATTTTTTCTATCCACAGAAAATATAGTGAAGTGTAGATCAGAGAAAATAATGTGTGTTTAATATGTAAATGTATGAATTATATTATTTAGTTTCAGTTAACAATTGAGTGTTTCCTGAGAGGCTAGAACATTACCATTGAGCTCTCATAAAAAAGCCTAATCATAGATGCTGTTTACCTGATCCAGATGAGTAAATCAGGGCTTAGAATCTAGGTTAAGTGACCTTTTTTTGGCTCTGCAGTCAGATTTTGAACTGAGGTTCTGCTAGCTGAATTGGATGTATCTAAGTTTTTCAGCAGTACTTAAAGCGTGGTTCTTATACTGGTGCCTGTCCACCAAATGTTGCTGTCTGTGAGAAGGTAAGAACAGATATTGGTAGGAAGCATTTAGAAACTTTTAAAGCTATCTGTTGAGTGTTTTTGTTTCTGTTGAATCTAATTTTTTAAAAAAAAACCCTGAGACTTATAAAAAATGTAAAAACTATTATAAAAATACTGTATTATAAAAAAAGATGTAGTGGAAAAGATATACAGAATATATATATGGGCAAGAAATTTAGCAGAGCAATAGAAACTTGAAAAAAAATTGAACCAAAAATATAATATCAGAAATAAAAATCTATATGAAGGCTTAATAGTAGCTTGGACACAGTGAAAGAAAAAAATTATTGAGGGTTTGAAAACAGGTCAATAACAATTGCCCAAACTGAAGCATAGGGAGAATAAAATAAGTAGAGCACCTTAAGCCTGGGGAAAATGTCAAAGTCTAACTTGTATGTAATGTAAGTCTCAGGAGAGAAAAGAGAATGGAGCAAAGCATATTTGAAGAGATGAAGGATGAGAATTTTCCAAAATTAATGAAAGGCATCAACCACAGATCCAAAAAGGTCAGTGAAACTCAAGTAGGATAAATAAAACTACGCCTCATCATGTATATCATAAGTAAAAAAATAGAAAAACAAAACAAAATGAAAAGAAGCTTTGACAGTTGCCAAATCAAAACTGGCATGTTAGATCCAGGGGAACAAAAATGAGAATAATGGTTGCTGTTGTTTGGATGTGGTTTGAGTGTGTTCCGCAAGGGGTTGTGGGTTGAAATTTAATCCCTGTTGTGGGAGCTTCATCAGACTGTGGTGTCTAGAAGTGATTAGGATTTGATAAAATCATCACGGGGGAACTCCAATGCTTGAATGTTGATGGCTTTATAAGAAGAGGGAAAGACCAGAGGTTGCACTTATGTGGACGTACTTTCTGTCTCTTGCCTCTGGATTCTCCCAGCAAGAAGGCCATCACCAGATGCAGACCCTCGAACCTTCAAAACTGGGAGCTTAATAAATCTCTTTTCTTTATAAAGTTACCTGGCTTCAGGTACTTTTTTATAGTAATGAAGACTGGTGGTTGACTTCTTACCAGAAAAATGGATGTTAGAAGATAGCAGACATCTTTAAATTATTGGAACAAATAACTATCAATCCAGAATCCTACAGCCTATAAATTATTCTTTTAAGTAAAGGTGAAATAAATACATTTTCAGCCAGAAAATAAAAATCTGAAAGGATTTATGTTAAGCTCACTGACAATATAAAAGTTGCTAAAAGCTTTCCAGGCCCAAAAGAAATGGTAATAGATGGATACCTGAATTTCCAGGGACGATTAAATTAAAAAAATCAGTAAAAAGTTGAAAACCCAAATCAAGAAAGAATGGTGAATTTGTAGGTAAATAAAAAAGCCATGGGAAAATTTGTAAGTGCACATGTAGAGCTAATATATACAAGTAAAATACATGACAGTAGTATAAAAAAGGAAGGGGGGAAGGGGTATAGAAATTACATATGCATAAGGTTTTATATTGCTCTTCAAGTAGTATATTATTTGATGCTATACTATAATAGGATGAATATTATAGTTTCTTGTAACTACTAAAAAAACTAAGAGATGTGTATCTTAAGTGTTAACAGAGTAGATTAAAATGGAATATTTAAAAGTACTCAATTAGAGCTTCCTGCTTGTAGTGATGGTGGTGTAGTTTGGTCAGATTAACCCTCCTACAAATTATGATTATATCATTAGTACACATATATGTCTCCCCAAACAAAGAAAGTCCACTGTTATTTCAAAGTATTGGTGGATGGTGAGTAAAAACTGGAGGGCAATTGGTACTAAGAAACAGAAGCTGTGCTTGGTGAAGTCTGTGTATTTCTGGCTCTTCTGAGTTTCTACAGTTCCTGGGTATGAGATGGCAGAAGGCTGCCGTGGCTCTTGGACAGGCTCAGAACAGAGTTTGAAGTTGGAAGAGTTGACTGAAAGCTTAGAGTGGAAATCATAGAAATGAGGCAGCCACAAAAGGGCTGAGTCTCAAAATCAACTTAAACTCAGAAAACTATCATTGGCCGTCCACCAAACTGCACATACAGGGAGGTACTTTCTAGGAGACCCACAAAAAGCAATACCTTTTTTTTTTTAAATTGCTGCTATACCAAATTACCACAGTGCAACAGCTTATAACACCCATTTATGATCTCATAGTTCTATAAGTTGGAAGTCTAATATAGGTCTCATGGAGGCTAACCTCAGGGTATTAGCAGAGTGCCTGTTACTTCCTGGAAGCTTTGGGGAAGAATCCACTTCCAATTTCATGTTAAGTTTTTGGCCACATTTCTTTCTTTGTGGTTGTAGGTTGTAGGTCCCTCTTTCCTTGCTGCCTTTCAGCCAGGGGTGAGGCCATGCTTCTATAGGCTGCCTGCATTCCTTCTGCTTTTAGTGAACCACTAAAGGCAACTATTCAGTCCCTTGTGTGTTAGTTTACACATCTCAGAGCCAACAATGGTGTGTTGAGGTCTGTATTTTGCATCTGTCTGGCTTATTCTTCTACTATGTCTCTTCCACCTCTTCTTTCACCACATCTCTGTGCTCATTTGATCGATTGTACCCACCTGGATAATCCAGTTGTGTAATATATTAATTAATTATACCTGCAATATATCCAGCAGTTAAAGGCATTGGCATCTTTTTTTGACAGTATGTGTGTTTTGGGTTCCTGCTGCACAGGAACAAAAATTGAGGTGAATAATATTCCGGATGGACTTAAGAGCAGATGAGAGATGGCTTTGAGACTAGAGCAAACAAGTTAGAATTAATGAATCTGAAGGTAAAGCAGTAGAAAGTAACTTAATTTGAAGAACAGACAGAAAACAGACTAAAGAAAATAGAGACTCAGAACTGTGA